GAAGACCTGGCACTAAAGTTAGTGCCGGGTCACATCTACATGTGTGTTAATGCGCTATAACTAATTGTGCCTAAATTTGATACCTGCATTTGAAGGTGCAATTAGCCTAATTTCACCATTTTAATGTGCATTAAGGGTGTGTACGTGTAGGCATGCACCTGTAATGCACATTAAATTAGGCTACTGCACATTAATATGTCTTGTGCAGACACGTCCTATGCGAAGTATATTACACAGTGCCCCCAGTAGCAACAGAGGAACCTTGCAAATGAGCTATTACAAAGCTGGAATCCCAAAAGATTAAGAGTTTAATATTTTCTTTATCTAAATAGGATTGAGTCAATGATACTTCAGGACCAACCTGCAAGGACTAGGGCTTTTTAGATCCATGTCTGCATGTAAAATAACACTATATAGATCTTCAGACTGGAAGTATTTGTAAGAAAATATCATCTTTCTAGATTGTTAATAAAATCTGACAGACTTTAACATTACTTTATTCAACGCTCACTCTTAAATACATTTATTACTAGTGAGCTATCCTGAGCCAGTCAATCCTATTAACATTTACATTTTTATTAATTACTGTGACTGTTAGGAATCAGATTTTGATACAAGAAAAAGTTTATTTCAAAATGACAAACTCTGCCTTACTATACGCATCTTATTCTTGAGCTATAAGAAAATTTACTGCCACTAGACCTTATCTGCAAATATTTGACATACTAATCCAATCACAGTAGTTTATGGCTTGCAGTACATTTTGTAAAATGATACAATTTGCTTACAACTAACCTTCAAACAATATGTTTTGTAAACAGGACCAGCTTAGAAATTATTAATCCTGCTAACAATATGTGATTTAATAGACATGTCAAGTTAAGCCTTTGCTGCTGTGTCATTATGCCGCTGCACATAAACCTTGGGATTTTTTTAATGGGAAACTTGATTTGATACAGGATTTAAGTCAGCGCATTTATTTATTTAGCATATGTGGTTTGGGCATATTGTTTCAGCGGAAACCACATACACTAAATAAATAAATAAATGCACTGACTTAAATCCTGTATCAAATCAGGTTTCCCATTAAAAAAGCCATTGCATTACAATCCCTATAATGAATGGCAGGGTTTCTAAGAAAATGAGATTCTTTAAAACTATAGTCAATGTTTATCAAATTTAAATCGATAAACAATCCTATTTGCAAAAGAAGTGAGATTGTCACCTACTTGCTGCTTCTTAGGAAGTTATTTATTTTTAATTTAATAGAAAAACAGCATTTATTAAATAAAAAAAAATACAAAACCCCTTTATTCAGGAAAGCTTACAGATTGAAGTCCCCAGATAAATTGAAGACTGGGGACTTCCGTTCCCTATGAGCAAAACAGGTACATGTTACAGCCAGGCAGTGTCATAGCCAGTCTTCTTCACCGTCCTACAAGCAGACCATAGTCCTGATGGAACAACCCTGGAGAAGACAAGGCCACATGAGTTTTACACGAACTGGGCAGATCATCACATATGACTGTGTAGATGGTTTTTGTTAATAGTGCTGTGCATGGCTCTCCACCAAGAGTTGGACTGACTCTACTACCTCATTCTTCACTGGTCATTGACAAACTATTGCTATCAGCCACAAACAATCTGGGTTATATTTCAGAAAAAGCAGCGCCTAAAATTCAGAACTGCACATGATGCAATGTTACATGGAAAAATGCAGAAGTATTTAATAAACCATTTTTATTTTTACAGTATTTCTCAGCACTGAATACTTTTAAGTGGTTGGGCAAGATTTTCCAAAACATTTAAAAAGGATTAATATTGAGAATTAGTATTTATAGCAGTTACTGAAAATTAGGCCTATTAGGTAGAAAACAGAGGTCCCTAGATGGAGTGTGATCAGCTCTACCACAATATGTTATGGCACAACTAATCACACTCCAGGATATCTACTCCAGGGATGTCTAACTGGTGCACATTTCTGGGAGCAGTGTGGGGCTAGGGCTGCAAGTGCAAGGTGAGGGGGAGGGAAGGGGGAAGTTTCAGCCTTCTTTTAAATAACTTCAGCCTTTCTTTGCATCTGCAAGGAAATCCTTTGTACAGGGACTCCCCTGCAGGTATCGCTGCTGCACAGGGACTGTGTCTACATGCAGGGAATCCCCACTTGTAGGCAGAGGCCTTGAAGCCCTGACTTTCCCTGCTTACCCCTGGAGGGGATACATCTGGGTAAGCAGGGAAAACAAGGCAGGTACGCTCAAGGATTCAGGAGCCCAATCCTGCATAGGAATTCCTGGCGTGTGCAGGGCTGCGGAGCCCCTGCCTCAGGGCAACCAGAGACCACGGGCAGCTTCATGCCGTCCATGTTCTTCCATCATAAACAGGCATAGGCCAGAATACAGTGTCCTAATTTATTACCACCTTTTGTTATGGCCACAAATTTGAGCATCTCTAGTATACTAGAAGGCATAGAAGTGTGCTTGCTTTCACTTTATGCCAACCTAAACATTTTTATGACGGCACAAAGGTGATGTCTGTTTCCACATCTAAGGTGTTTCGACATGACAAATATTTAGGCATCCAAATGTACAAGACACATCAGAAAATCCTGGCTGGAATGCTTAACAAATCTAACCTGGTTCACTTTACTCAGAGTATTTTCACTGAGCTCAGTGCTACCCGTGTGAGTAATGTGCAGTCTGTCTCTGAACATTTTTGTTAAGACTACAGGTTCAGTTACCGTCCATTCTTTTATACTGTGTTACTTGTGAAATAAATCTACCCAACTATTTTCTCAAATTTTATTAAGAAATCAGATGAGAATAAGTGGGTTAATAACTGCAGCACATTACAATATATCTCAAGTCACAAAATTAAAGTTCTATGCACATTGTAATCTGAGCATATATAGTTAACAGGGAATAATTTCTATTCTGTAAATGAGTCCATTATTTTTTGTATTATCTATATTCATATATTAAAATTATGAGAGGCAAAATAAGCAGGAGAGATAATTTAAGAGCCAAATATATATAGAGAGAGCAAATTTCCTGCAAATAACAAAAAAAGAAAGAGTTTTAAAAATATGGATTGTACATATTATTCTATGTTTAGCATGTGTGCCTCTGCTAAATTAATTTCCTTACCATTTGCAGCTTTCCAAAGAAGGGGGGTGGGGGGGAAGGCTGTACACTGTGAGCTATTTTTTGAAGTTTAATAAGTCTTCATGTGGCAAATATACAAATCCAACTGCTCCACAAATGAATCTACGCAATGCAGATTTTCAGTTTAATCTGTAATTCAATATCACTAGACAAAATTAGGTGCATAAATTACAGCTCACACTCCCATAACTATGTAGGGCTCCTATGACCTTTGAAGGAAATGGACTCTAAAATGTTTTCAAAGGGGAACTTTCATTCATTGCTAAAATCTTCTTTAAAATATCAGCAACACATCAAATTAAGGAGTCTGGAGAACCTTGAGTCTGTAGCCACCTTACATTTTTTTTTAAAACAAACACGTACCCTACCATGTGCAGACATCAACATTAACTTGTCCCCTAATACAAGACAAGACTACTGGTTCTTCTGATAAGCTGTCCTCTGGGATTTTTTTTTATAAAGGAATACTTTTACTGATGTGAAAAAGATATTGCAGTAGCAGACAAGATTGCTAGTGATTGAGAAGCAAGATTTCATTTCTTTTACATTCTTCTTCTTTTGGCCTCATGATCTGAAATATCTCTCTGCAACTTTTTGCCATTTCCTATCATTCAGTGCAATGTACACATGGTACATTTCAATATTACTGTTATAGAACTCATTGATTACACTTAATCTCCAGTTCTGCAATCATTACATTAGTCTTTATTCAGCTGAGTAGTTCTATTGAAGTCAGCAGACTCCTTACATAACAAACACTTACAGAATAGGGGTCCCAGTTGGTTAGGTTTTAAATAAAGCTTTATATTGGGAAAAGTGCATTGATAATCAGTGGTTTATGTTCCTGAAAGGAAAAATGTTTTTTTTATAATTGCTGATGTGGACAGTGCAAAAACAAAATATACTGATTTACGGTAAGTACAGATTATCCAAACAACTTATGAGATGAAAGTTGTTGTGGTCCAAAGAAATGCCAAAATACAGTCATTAGAAAATCTAAATGTATACTGGTTAAGATTTTATACAGAAAAGAAGATAACTAAAGTGTAATTTACTGCCTACGGCAGTGCACCTAATGGATGCTGAACTGGATTCCAGTTAATCCATATCAGGACTTCCATCACTTGTAACAATTAACCCCCCAGTTTTCTTACTTGCTCTCACAGAACCATTACAGGTCACTTAGAGGTAACAGGTGACAGGCACTTTCATATGAAGCAATTCTTTGTAAGCATCATTTCAGGTCTTACAAAGCAGTGGTAAGAATGCCCGAACATCCGCTTGTTTTAATGTAGAGAGATTGTTCTATAATACATCAAAAACAAATCAATAACAGAACAAAGCCCGTTGCTAGAAAGCTCTACTTTGTACTGTGTTAACGCCATGTTTCCTTTTGCATTAAAGATCTGGAACTGACTTGTTCAAGTTGTTTCATGTTGCCTCTTACCTTTCAACAAAAACAACATTTCATTAGAAAGTTATTAGAATCTCTGATTTGGCAGACTTACTCTTCACAAGTGAGAGCACCTGGGAATATCTAATTAAACATATACACAAGATTTTTTTTGTCTTCTACAATATTCTTCTGCTGCCATGTACTTTCTCAAGTTTCTGAAACCCTCTTCTGTGCATCAAAGAATTTTAGTCATTTTATTTCCAAAAAGTAATGGGCTAGGGAGGCTTTTGAAGCACAATTTTCTGGCAAATACTGGGAATGTCTACACATTCATTAGTGTACCGTAATTACAGCACATTAAGCTTTGTCCCTGTAATTACAAGGACTAATTTAATGCACCATAATGGGCGCTACTGCACATTAGTGCCAGTGCGCACTTTTTCGTGACGCTAATGTGCAGTAGATTAATTCTACTGCGCATTAGCATGGATTTTGCCTGTCACACTAATGGGCAGTAGCATTAGTCTACTGTGCTTGAAGTGTCTCGTGCAGACTGAATAGTGATAAGCATAGTTGTGCTTGCAAGGAGGAAAAAAACCTCAGCATTTTCCTGACATTATGCCAACAGATCTCAGGAACGTAAAAAGATGATATGAGGGTAGAAGAGAGAGATTCTACAAAACAAACAAAGGATTCATAGTAGCAGAGGAGAAGATAAGAACAAAGGAAATATGTACTGCTTTACAAAACAAAGGAAATGTATATCAATTTGCTGAGGCTCTACTGAGCAGCCCTTGTATTTCCTTTGGGAAATGACTGCTGCCTTGAGAAGTGACCTATTTGATCAGAATGATGAACCTTGGTACTGAGCGTCTCTTTTCAGGAATTAACTTGAAGCACCTGTATTCTCCCAAGGAGCTTATATAATCAACAGTGCAGGATGGGAAGAAATCACAGGACTGTTTAAAGTACACGGTGCTGGTGTTCACAGTCATGGAGTCAGAGGTCACCACTTTGAGGCTCCAGGTTCCGTGGCTCTCTCTGATGGCTCCGTGATAGCTTTGGAAAGCGGGTAGTCACCCTTGAGCGACCGCCTTTATTTACTGGTTCTCCACCAGGCTGAATATCACTAGGAAAAAGAATAAACACAAGAACAAGTTCATTTTATATGAAAATTAGCCTGTTGCTGGTCTGAATATGGAAAAAGCAGATGTTATGAGAACCTGGCACATGGTTGCAAACTACAGCATACATCCTTAACTACATAGACTTATAGTATTTATACTGCTGTCTGGAATCTGAATTACAAGTGTGATCCTGTAAAATATGAGGACAAGTAGTGCTTTATGGGAGACTGCAATCCCAGCATTTTGAAGTGATAAACACAGGCAAACTGAGCAAGAGCTTGGATGATGCTTCAGTTAACATTCTTCTAATTATGGATGCATGTATCATCATGTGATGAAGCACATTAGTAATACATCCCTGTTGGGAACTCTCGAGTCTGTTCTGACCAACAACAGACTGTGATACTACATGAATGAGCTTTTTGAAAACAATTTACTCAGAGTAGTCTATATTCAACAACAAGCAGTAACATAAAATTCTGCTGACCTAGATGTCATTGCTGTAGACTCCTTGGAAAACTACGGTAGGAAGAGATAACGTTGTACTTTTACCATTCTTTTAGAGGACACTATGGGCGTGTGCAGACGTGCATGGTTGCGCGGTATGTGGCGCCGCAAACATGTTTGCAGTGTCACACACCACACAGCTCGGTGTTCTCTGCACTACAAAGGCGCACTACCTGAGCATGTGCTGCACCATTTCTTTCCCCCCCAGGGTCAGAAAAACCTGCACAAAAAACCCCTGGTGCATGACATGCTTGGGCAGTGAGCGCTGCTGAAAAGCAGAACCAGACTGCCCAGAGCCACACTCTGCTGCCAGCCAGGCTCTGCATGGCACAATCACTGCAGCTGCAGCCCAGAGAGCCCCCAGGACCCCAGGTAAGGCTGCTGGGTCCAGCACAGTGCTGGCCCCAGCCTCACCTACAGCCCCTGGGTGAACTTGCCACAGCCAAAGCGTGCATGGCACAGGCATTCCCCAGGGACAAGTAGCTGCAGTGCAAGGTGCGCCGCTGCTAGTTGTCCCTGGGGAACCAAACATCCACGCACATCTGTGCGCACCCTACATGAGTACATTTTGTACAACTCAACAAACATCACTTACTAGCATTTTGGAAAAAACAGGTACTTGTATCAACATTCAGTGTGAGTTGAAGAGTTGGTCTTCTGTAGTACTTGTTATTTTAGGTAAAAATTATATAGTTTTAAAGCAAATAATGAATTCACTCCCTTTTCTTTGCAGTGTGACATTTACCTCTGCACAGGCAGATGTAAACTCAAGTCCCACTTCAGCAGTAATTTGAGGGGTTAATTAATGAGATCTAGTGAAACATGCCTTGTACAGGTCCTATACACAGGTGCATAATTAACTCTCAGAGGCAGAGCACTTTAGCAAGGTAAGACAATAACATTTCATATTGGCAGTGGTAACCATTGGTTTTTCACTCTAATAAATACTAGGGGTGCACCAACAGAGATTTTTGGGGCTGATGCCGATAGCTGATTTTGAAGGAGGCATATCGGCTGACACCAATCTGATTTCTGATACCAGCCCAGCAGCTTGGAGAGCTGCTTGCAGCTGGTAAGTGTGGTGTGGTGAAAAAGAAGTGGGGTGGGAAGGGGCAGAACAAGGCCCCTGTAGCGAGAGGGAGGAGTGGGGCTGGGGCAGGCATGGGACGGAGCCGCATCTCATCTTGGGGGCACGAAGAGGGGCAGCTCCCACTGCTGTGCTCTGCTCATCTGGGAGCCACTCATCCAGTAGCTTCCACTGCTGTTCCCACCACTCATGGGGGGGGGGGAGGAGAGTAAGGGGATGACCCTGGATCAATGCAGGGTGGGGCAGGCTGGGTCCAGTGCTGCTCAGGGCTCTTCCTGGCCCACCCTGCCCTGCCCAGTTATGGGGTCACACACCCCCCGCCCTCCCAGATGAGCGGCAGGAGCCACTGGACCAGCAGGCAAGCACCGGACTGGTGGCTCCCAGACAAGCCACC